CGGGAGTCCCTCTGTGCAAACCACCAGCCTCTCAGAACGCGTCCTGTACCTCCTGTTAGGCGTCTCTTGTTGGCGCAGGATGGCTTTTAAGACGTCTCTCTTCGCTTGGTTGTTTTCTTTATCCACGTAGATCACTGTACAAAAAAATAAAAATAAATAAACAACCCAACAAAAACAAACCGTCCACACAGGAAGTCACTCAGAATCTCGCCACACTAGGCCCACCCTGTGCTGCCTAAGCGCCCGTTTCCGGAGAGGAGCCACGGCGCCCCCCGGTGCGCCCTGGGAAGCGCCAGCAGCTCTGGAAGCCGGAGTCAACCCTGAACAGCCAGGTGCGGCATGGCAGGCCCCGCAGGTCCGTGTGCGCCCTGTCAATTCCCCGGTCAGGGGCACGATGCCCCAGCGGGGGGCGTGCAAGGAGGCAGCCAATCAGTGATTCTCCCCTCATCATTCATCTTTCTTTCTTTCTCTCTCTCTCTCTCTCTCTCTCTCTCTCTCTCTCCCTCGCCCTTTCCTTTCTGAAAATCAATGAAAAAAAAAAATTTTTAAAAAGGGTCTAAAAATTTCCCAAAAATTCAAATGCATCCTTTTAGAAAAGAAAATGCTGGGCACTTTATGAAAAAATGTCAGAACTCCTACAAGTTAAGCTATTTACCTTTCATTTCCACCGGACATCACCTCTGTTTAGGACTGGCTGGATTTGGACAACGCATACCGAAAGCATATGCCTCAGAAAGGTACAACCCAGCAGTCCAAACACTTGGGTGGGTTCTGAACGCTCCACCATCAAAAGCAACCCTCCTTCTGCGGCAGGAGAGGTCCTTGCGTCCTCCCTCGTGTCACGTGGCAGCAGTAAGAGGTGCAGATGGCTTAACGACCTTGAATCTCAACAGTCACTGTGTGAGAGAGTCATCACCCCAATCCTTCCTTTGCCAAGTCTCTCCTCCCGTCAGCAACACAGTCTGAAGCTCTGCGTCCTCTTCATGTCCTGAATTAACCTTCATGTCCCACCAGGTAGACTGTTCAATGCTCAGAGCCCGGGGACCTCGATGATCTGTACACGTCCCAGAAAAACGGGGGGCACCTTCATTCTCTTCTCCCCCACTGTCAAGTCCCTGGAAGGCTTTATCCGGCCCAGACAGCATTCTTCCGACCTACGTTACTCTCACCTTCTTCCAAACGAGTTTCTTGCTTTCTCAGCAACGTTTCCAAGGGCAAGGCCGTCCGATTGCTTTGTTCTTGCTCCCTTGGTCTAGCAATGTTTTCTCAGTGTCGGGAACCCAAAGAAGACAGATTTGTGTGTGTAGGGGAAACCGCTACTAACTCCTCTCAAAAAAGACGGAATTAGGCTCCGGATAGTCCTGGGGACCACCAGTCCCACCTTCTCACTTTGTGCCGAGGCAGGCCTCACGCACAGCTCCCTCTGGAGTGCGCTCAGGCCACAGCGCAGGCAACGTCGCTGCGAGGTTCCGTCCGCTGCTGACTGTGTGTGTTCCCACAGGGGACAGCAGTTCCACTTCCGGCTCGCGGCAGCCTGGCGTGACGTTTCTCACTAAACCTCTCCACTTGTACGCCGCCAAACCATTTTAAAAACATCTTCAAGTTGGCTGACAGAAGAATTTACAAGTTGCCTACTGGGTCTGCACTGGTTCAGTAGACTTACATGTCAACTAACAGATACATAAAGCCCTGAATTAAGAGAAAACCTGCCTGCTTCTAAACATGGATGTGTGGGCTAAATGAGGAAAGGTCATGTAGGAACTTATGCCACTCGATTAAAATCCCAAACACCTAGACACTGGGAGAGACACATGCACGGGAGAGACATACACAGATATTGTAACAACATCTACGTGGTCACATTCATCAGGAAGGTTGAAGAAATGAGGCCACTGAACCACTCAAATCCATATGATTAAAAAACGACTACATTGAAATATAGTATTTTTCTATAAAATTCAATTTTAGACCTAGGTGGCGTTTTTTAAATGATACTATGAGATAGCAGGAACATCTAGCAACATTGTTTTCCCACTGCTTTCATTTTAACTTCAGTATTAATTCAACATTTTCTTCAATTCTACTGCAACTTTTTTATCCTTATGCTACAGATCTGTCTTAAAAAAATTTCTTTTAATCCTCACCCAAGGATACGTTTGAGAAAGGAAGGGCGAGAGGGAGAGAGAAACGTTAATCGGTTGCCTCCTGTACACGCCCTGACTGGGGATCGAATCCGCAACCTGGGGTCAGTGCCCTGACCTGCAATAAAACCCGCAACCTTTCGGTGTAGGGGATGATGCTCCAACCAACCGAGCGCCCGGCCAGGGCAACGGACGGGGCTTTCATGAATTCACTGGGATTTGTATGAGGCCCTCGAGCCGCACCCACCGTGGCTGTAGTTGTAGTGGACCCAGTGCCCCCTCCGGGGCTTGGGCAGCGACACGGGCGTCTCCTCGGCAGGGAGGCCGCCGAGCCGGAACTCCACGAAGAGCCGCTGCACCGTGTCATCTGCGGTCACTCGAGCGTCACTGAGGCTCAGAGCGATGATCTCGATCCGGATCTTCTCTGATGTCTGTTTAAAGAGGGAGAGAGAGAAAAACAAGCAAATAAAACAGACGAGTCAAAAACCCTGTCCTCCCTTTTGCTATCGATTTGAAATCAAACACGAAGGCCGACGGGCTGCCTTTTGGGAGGCACTGCGCACTAGTATTTAGTCACACGTGGTAGATTCTTCCCGACAGAGAGACGGGGTGAGACTTCCCCGGGGTTGGACGTGAACAGTGTCCCCGCAGCCCCGGTTCCCACGTGCGGCTGGAAGCACCCGCCAGGCGCCTCTCGGAGGGGTGCGGTGAGGTCTTCATCTCTGACTGCTTTCCGATGACAAGCATCGCTGGCCTGGTTTCAAACCTGCCACGAAGCGCATGCTTATCACTGCTCAGCTCACCTCAGGACCCGGGGAAGTTCCGGCTGCTCAGAGATCAAAGCCTGTTGAATACTTTATAGCTCTTATGCTAATGCGTGCAGCTCTATGAGTCCATATTAACCAGAGCGGAGCCTACCGCTCACTCTCTCATAGACTCTGCCGTAACATATTTCACTCAATAAGTAGTTTTCAAACAAAGGAACATTTTCCCCCAGTTTAACACATTTTCTCACAATTTATTGTCTGCCATTTTAACAGAATTAACAAGTAAAATAGGTATTTGTTTGATAGCGTAATTCGCACATCAATTCTTATTGAATAGACTTTGGTGCCAGGCACACGAGTTTCCCGGAGTAATGATTGAGAACAAATAATAGACGAGGACTTAAAAATGAGATCACGCCAAGATAATGCCTCAGTCAAATGTTCGTTGTTGTAGCTTTACATTTGCTCCCGATTCCCCTTCACTAAACCCAAAGACATGCTCCCAAAAATGATAGAACTTCGGGTTGTAATTAGAAACTGCCGAAGATAAGACCTGTTTATGGGACCAACGTTTAGAAATTCATGGTTAAATATGTCAGTGGGTAAATTTACCACCGTGATGACTGAGATAGTGCAAAGCATACAATATAATTAACCACACTGAAACGCTACTGTAAAAATATCCTCATAAAGAACAATTTCCACTGCTGTGCAACCCCCTTGATATTTGATGAAGTAATTTTACCCCCTTCTTTCAAAGGACATTTACTTTTATGATGTATTCTAAGGCACTTTAACTAAGAACCCAAATCTGAATATTTCACTGAGGTTATTTTATTATCCAATAGATTCACGGCAATTGTACCCGGATGACGGGGAGCGCTCTGCCCGTTCTGTGCCCGCTAATGCAGGCTGCAGCTGGCAATATCGCCAGGATTAGCACAGGGTGATGAAATATTTAAAGGGAAATTTCTTCTAAAACCTAATAAATCAAATGACTGCCCAGTGTCATTAGAGTGATGGTCTTTGACTTGAATATGCTTTTCATATTCAAATCTGGGGACAGGGAGATGAATGCCGGGGAAGGCTACTCGGTTCCACTAATCACCGCGCCGCTCCATTCACGGGCCTGAGGAATGAAGGTGGCTCTATTGTCTCCTCTCACTCGAGGACAGCCTTCTCTGCTCGCTGGAGACGAACATGGTACAGAACCTAGTTTAAATGATGTTATTTTCTCCTTAAAATGTATCGGGCGGTCAACATACCGCACACGAACACATTCTACAATTCTGGTTAAGCCTTTTACATAACTTGCAAGGGGACCAACTTAGAATTGTTATAATGACATGTCTTATAAAACCTTCCTGCCTCTGCACAGAAGAATTAAAAACAAAACCCAGCCATAACAAAAGCGAAAAGAGGTACACGTGGTTATTTCCACACACTGTGAAGACAGGAATTTAAAACTGTTCCTCACAGAACCCAATGAAGAGACAGATGAACTTTAAGTAGCAGAGGACTCAAATTTACGTAAGTGCTTATTTTGTTAATAACATATCAACTGTGCAATCTCCTTATGAAAACCTGCAGTATTATAAGAATGAGTTAAGGAGAAACACAAAAATAATTCCAAGTGAGAGGTGATACTTGGATCACAGTCAAACACACAAACAACAAAGCAAGAACCCCCCCCCCATATTATCCAAAGGGATAAAAGAGCTTACAAGTTCTTTATATGATGCCAATCTTCTTTCTGGTTCTGTTTTTTTTTTTACCCCCTCCCCTCGCCAGCCTGATTACTTCGATCATATGTCCTTTTTAATTCTCTAATGTTACTGACAGGAGTTATTAGTTACCTTTCTTTATTCCTTTGATGCTACATGAATCAACTTAAAATAAATCCAAAACGGATAAGTTCCAAACAGTATATATCTAGGGAAGCATGCTCTGAGCGAAGAATTTTCCAAATATTATAATTTTGGGCCAATGGGGCGAGCCAGCTTATTTTTCAACATTGGGACAATTCTGGTCACATCCTGCCGCTGTGAACCAAACGTGCAAGTGGATTATAGATGAAGGTTTTGAAGAGCAAGCAGCACGCCCAGCAGCGTAACAGACAACTCCAACTTAGAGTCAGAAATGAGCTCTCTCCTCCCCTCTCCTCTCCGTCTCATTCACCCTCTATTTCCCGTCTCAGGTGAGCTCGCCATCCATCCACCTGGTCACGGCAGCCAGAAGGTCCTGGAGCCATTCCTGCCCCCTCCGTTTCCCACGCCCACCACATCCTCTAGCTCACCCACTCCCGTCCGTTTCACTTCCCAAGTATCTCAGTGATCCATTGAATTATCAAAAGCTTAAGATATCTGAAACATTGTGTCAGCTACTGGGGATATAAAGACAAAAGGTGCAATTTCTTCTCTCAGTTTTCTCTCTAGAGAAACTTCTTTAGGTTCTCATCTGATCTGAGGGAGGCGCTAACCCAGCAGCTTCTAGTATTAGAACCTTGAAATCCCATAGAACAAGGAGGGGAGACAGACGGTGTCAGACAAGAGGAGCGGTTGAGCTCTATAAGCAGACAGGCGGGCAGTGCAAGGCGGGGAGCTCAGTGACATGGTGAACCTGCTCTACACTGTGTCACTGGTGTGGCCTGCAGTGCACACTCAGTGAGTGAATGAGCGGATCCGCGCAGGGCAGGCTGCGAGCGAGGCGGGGCGCTCCTGCTCCTAATCCCCTGCCCACAGCCTCAACTCTTCTCTCTCTAAAAACAAACCAGACGTCGCCCTCTGCTTGCAAACCTTTCTACTACCCTACACTCTAGCCCTTCCCCCAGCCTGTGTGCTGTTGACAGTGCTCAGCTCTTGCACCTGGAATCTTCTCCATCGGACGAAATTCCACTCACCCGAGGCCTGGACCGCAGGCTCTCCTCTGAGAGACACCGCTGACCTCCGAGGGCCGGCTGCTCCTGCGGGGCCCTCACCACACTTTCGGTCCCCATGTCCTGCACGGAATCGTTTACACACTGGCCTCTCTCTATACTATGAGCTCTCGGAGGCCGGGACCATCTTATTCATCTGCTGTTCAACATCCTCTCCGGGATCTGGCACATAGTAGGCTCTCAATAAAGACTTAAAGGGATAGAGTCAAGAAAAGCTGGGTATCTTCTCATATTTCAAGTGTCTTTCGTATAGTGCCAGAAATTCATGAAGCTGCGGGTATTAGTGAGTAGTAAGTGCTGCAAAATAAGCAGTTGTCTGCATTTCTAGATCCTAACCGAATAAAAGTATCTCAAAGGCAGGTCCACAGGGTAAAATCTAGGTGGTAGGGTACTATTATTTCAACTTTTCTGTATGTTTGAATTTTTTCATAATAAAAAAATGAAAAAACAACATTTACGCAGCAGATTGGGAGGGGGAACAATATACCGACTGGAATGACAGTGACGGAAGCTGAGCCTTCTCAGACAGACGTGCAGTAACACCGGCTCAGCTACGAGGGCCGCACGAAGGGTCAGAGCTCCACGGAGCCCGCACCTTCCGACACAGAGGGTGCGGGCTCCAGGCGTTTCCCGTTGTGTTTCGTTCCTGTGTGTGCGAAGGCCTGCGACCAGGTAATGAGGCCACTCGGGGGGAGGGGGGTCTGTGTTGCTCACCACCGCCCCGTTAACCCCCTGGTTAGCAGGATGTCAGCATCGGCACGTGCGAACAGCGTTTCGGAATTCTGGGCTCGATGAACAGAGTCACCGAAGTCGCTCAAATAAGAACCGCATGCGAGGTGATCGGAGTTGTCTGTGTAGGTGGACTCCACGTCACGTGACTGGACGATGGAGAACGTGATGACAGCTGGTATTCCTCGCAGGGAAGAGAGCTGTGGTTCTCAGCATTCTGGCTCAGGGCCCTCTGCTTCCTGCCGGATGCGAGTGCACATCGTAGGCGTGTTTTTCCGTAGGGCTCACTTGGGCGTTTAGACGCGTGCTCGGACTTTTATGTTGTACTTAGAGGGTCGTGCCGAAGTCTTCCTGTCCTGTTACCCAGCACGGAGCTGGATGGTTAGGGCTCTAAAATCTAGCTCAACGGGACAGCCTTAGGCACGGGCGCTTAGCGGGGAACGGCCCAGATGAAGGGCTTGCAATCTGTTTCCGTCAGTTAGATTTAGGCCTCACTATGGTGAGACTGTGTGTGAGTTTTATTTCATTCTAAATTTCTATGAGGAATAAATATTCCTGTAACTGTTTAAATTATGAAGCATAGAAGATAATGTGGCATAGTCAAGTACTCGGCATCTTAAGCAGATGTTATCATTTTGCTGCAGCTGATTAAAACCTTTTTGTTGCTATTTTTGGAGAATAAAATATTTCCGACACAGATAAAGTCCTCCCCTCCCAATTCCTTTCCCCGCCCTTCCTCATTCCCCCAGAGCTAACCCCTAGCCTGGCACTGGTGTGCATCATTCCCAAACATGCTTTTATGTTTCCCAATGCATATGTGTATACACAGAGGCAACATATAGTATTGCTTTGTTTCTAGATTTTAAGTTAGTGGTACCATCCTCTATTCATCATTCTGCAATTTTGTTCTCCCCCTCAATACCGTATTTTTTGAGATGTATGCATGTTTATAATTAAAATCTAACTCATATAACTTTTGTATAGAGTTCCATTTATATTGCATATATAGTCTATAGTCCATTTATTTCTCTACTGAGGAGCGATGAGTCACTTACAATTTGTTGCTATTACAAACAAGGTTGCATTGAATATCCTTTTATGTTTTCTTGTGTATGTGAGTGATTCTCTAGAAGAACTGCTGGGTGATAGGTATAAGATTCAGTTTTATAGGATCAGCAAATCACTTCCCAATGGTCACATGAATTTACACGGCACTGCTTTTATCACCTTAACAATGGTTTATGTACGTGTGTGTGCGCGCGCGCGCGCGCGCGCGCGCGCTTAAATAAATGCCCCACAGCCGGCCGACAGGAGCTGCTGTGTGTGGTATGTGGCACGGGTAACAGAGCCACAGAGACAACTGGGCATGGAGGGTGATGCTCGACGGCGTGCTGCAGCAAAATGGTGCCACCTGTTTCTAGTCCTGCCGAGGACTGGGGCAGCACGTTGCTTTCTACACTTCACGGCCACGGGGGCTCTAAGTCAGCGGTGGGCAAACTACAGCCCACGCGCCGGATCCGGCCCGTTTGAAATGAATAAAACTAAAAAAAAAAAAAGACCGTACCCTTTTTATGTAAGGATGTTATCTTTGATTTTATATTAGTTCACACACACACTCCATCCATGCTTTTTGTCCCCGCCCTCCGGGTCCAGTTTTAAAGACCGCATGTGTGCGCCCTCGAGTCAAAAAGTTTGCCCAACCCCTGCTCTAAGTGAAGGCTCAAACAGCTGGTCCAACACCCCCTCCCGAAGGCAGTGGAAAGAGCTTCAGGCGGGGTGGGGCAGAGTCACTGAAGAGACTCAAGGGCCGCTGGACGTCACTCTAGGCTGCGAAGCTTCCTCTTATAGGATCAGGTTGACTCTACAGACAAGTTTTGCTAGAAAGGTCTTTGTTTTTTTTTC